TGCATTTTTGTATTTAATAGATGTTTTAAAAGTCTCACTCATTCAGAATATCACAGTATGAGTCCAATAAAAGTTTTTATTCAAACATTTAATACTGATAATAAAGATAATAAAAATAAAGCTTTAAAAAAATAAGGCAACACTTCAATTACTTCTAAGTTGAGACTTTATCTCATGGCACTACTGTGAATAAGCTTGAGTTCTAGTTTGTATTTAATAGATGTTTTAAAAGTCTCACTCATTCAGAATATCACAGTATGAGTCCAATAAAAGTTTTTATTCAAACATTTAATACTGATAATAAAGATAATAAAAATAAAGCTTTAAAAAAATAAGGCAACACTTCAATTACTTCTAAGTTGAGACTTTATCTCATGGCACTACTGTGAATAAGCTTGAGTTCTAGTAAGCGAAGAACTACAGAATCTACATCCCTCGAGCTGAAACTTGGGAATTGCAGATAGAAACTTTCAACTTGTTTTTTACCTGCTATAATGGTAACTGAAAAAAGAGCTGATCTGTCAAATATCCCCCGTGCAATTAACTGAGCAGGAGAGATGGCTAGATATTTAGACAAACAAGATGATTATCTATAAAAAGCAGTATGTAATAAATGCTAAATGAGCAGCACAGATAATATACAGTGTTTTATTAGCATTCAGAAGAGGGTGCAATTACAATTGGAAGGAACTCAATGCCTGTTTTGAGTCTGCGATAATGAAAATATTGCCTGTCATTTATTTTGCCCATAACTTAATCATCTCCTTTATGGATTGTATGTATCATTCCCCAAATATTCACTAAAGCTATGGACTCAAAAGCTAACAAGTCAACACAGTATTAGAAAAAAACATTTGAGGGCCTTGTTTTCTTTTACAATAAAACAAAAATATGGTTTTTCTTCTAATGTATCAAGATTGTCAGCTGTAGTAAATAATGGTATATGAAAACAACTGTTTCCCATGTAAAAGCTATAAACTACTGTTAATTATAAGTTAGTTTATATGTATAAATATTATTTACAATGGGATTGGATTCTGATTTAACTTAATTTATCTTTGGCTTTCATTCTTCTACCTCATATAATGTAGGAGGTCATCATAAGGTTGCTACTAGTAAAATAAAGTTATGTTATTTTAGGATTATGAAAAGAGCATTCTGTGAACCAAATTTGTCCTACTCTAGTGGTTCTTTAGTCTTAGAACCCTTTATGTTTCAAAACTTTTTGAAATCCTCAAAACATTTTTAATATGGGTTATATCAATAAACATACACTATTATAATTACAAATTGATAAAATATAAAATATTCATTAATTTTTTAAACCTTAAAATATTAACATTAACATAATGTGAACATTAGATTGATGATACAATCAGATGTCTTGTATTCTTGGGAGTATTCCACTGTACTCATGAGAGAATAAAGAATGACAAAAGCAAACAATGTCCTGATACCTATTAGAAAAATACTTTTTACTTCATAGTTCTCCCAAAACTGTATCAAGACCTCTATGGGTTTGCAAACCATGCATTAAGAACCACTATTCTAAACAACATTTCAAATCATGCTTTTATTCCTAAGCATCCAGTACATAGATGCCATTTATACATGAGGTTCATAAAAAAATCAACATGCATAGATATCTCATGAGTGAAAACCTGGGTTACTATTTATATTTTGTCTTGATCTATAAGTACCTCTGGGTGTGAGCAGACAGGCTCAGCAGTTATTTTGCTTATTAAGACAAATATAAAAATAAAGTTATTACTTTGCAACTTATCCTGGTCTCCTCTGCCTAGTTCCTAAAATATTATATTTTCATCTCCATGGTAAAAAAACACAAAAGCAATAAAATATACCCCAGGAAGAGTGATAAAATGTGAGAAAAAAATCAGTATCTAAAGATTATCTTTCTAGAGAACCAGAAAAAATAGCTAAGAAATGAGTTTCCAGCTGGAAAATTCCAGCAAATCTTAACCTTAAGACTTTGAGAAACTGTAAAATATTTAAATCAAGTAAAGACTGACTGCAGCCCAAATATTTACAGAAAAGTGTGAGACAATGATCTTCTTACTTTGCGCTTGATGTTTTCTAGAAAGCTTTCTCCGCCCTTTTTGAAGTGTGGATGTTGAAATTCCATAGATTTTGCCTTTGAGCCAGTCTTTGCCTTCTTCAATTTAATCACCTTTCGGAAACCATCTAACAATAAATAAAACAATAACAATAAGAAACAAAGGTCACTGAATAGATTCTTGTCAGGAAAGCTGAAAATTATCAGAATATATTAGCAATACTGAGAAATACCTGTCAACATAATTGCTGAAATAAAATAACCTAATTTCAAATTTGGGAACTGAGATCTCAGTAGTTCGTTTTATTTTGTTTATATAAAACGTGAAAATGAGCCTAAGGTACTGGTGGAGAAGCATGGATGATTAAAACCTATATGAAATCAGCCAATCTCATTTTAACAAACAGCTTCAAATTTCTGCAACACTCACTATTATGTGGGGATATCTCAAGGATTACTGAGAGCAAAAATAAATGATTTTGGTTTCATCTTTTAGTGCTCTGCTCACCCTTTGAAAATACTAAAAAGGAAGTCATATGAACAAGGAGAAGCAAAGGTCTTAGATGACCAAGTAGATCATCTGCTCCTAAAAAATAAAGAGCAGCAACAAGAGAACAAATAACCCAATTAAAAACGGCATAAAGGCTGGGGATTTAGCTCAGTGGTTCTACCACGTGCCTCGCAAATGCAAGGTCCCAAGTTGGATCCCTGGTATGAAAAAAAACGGGGGGGGATAAAGATTTGAATAGATGTTTCTCACAAGAAGAAATACAAATGGCCAATATATGAAAAGAATAGTAAATATCACCGGTTATCAGGGAAATGTAAAGCAAAAACATAATATGATATCCATCTACTGGAGTAAGAATTGTGATTAACATTTAATTGTTTCTCTTAGCTTTTTGAAAAGAAGTTCATATTACTCTTTGTATTTCTTTTCTGTAAGAATCTTTTTAGTTTATGTCTTCTACTGAGTATCTACTTTGAAGATAACAATGCATAGTGTAATATCTATTATTCTGTTTTAAATTTTTTTCATAAAAATTACAAAAATAATGTGCTGGTGGGGATATGGAGAAAAGGGAATTTTCAAATACTGTTGGTGGATTATAGCCAGTATGGAGCTTCCTTAAAAAGTAAAAATAGATCTATCATATGATCCAGAAATCCTGAGTGTGGGTATACAATCAAAGGAAATGAAATCATCATACCAAGGAGATTCTTGCACTTTCAAGTTTATAGTGACACTATTCAAAAAAGCTAGGATATGCAATCAACCTAGGTGCCTTTCAAAAGATAAATGGATAAAGGAAATATGATATATATATATACATATATATATATGTATATATATAAATTTAATATTCAGCCACAAAGAAGAATGAAATTTTGTTAATCACAAAATGGACGATACTGGAGGACATTAAGTTAAGTGAAACAAGCCAGGCACAGAAAGACAAATACCATATATGCTCATCCATACGTTGAAACTAAAAAAGGTGTACCTGAATGTAGAATAGTTATTACTAAAGGTTTAAAAGCGTGTGTAGAGGGGAGAGGCTGGACAAAAGGAAGTTAAATAGTGTTATGGTTTGGGCCTAAATGTCCCCTCAAAGTCTCATGTGGTCATAGGTGGCTTTTTCAGAGGCGGCTGAATCTAGAGTATGTGATGCTGGATTAAGGGCATATGATTACTAAATCAGTACACTGATTGGTTTGGCACCACCCTAATCCCAGTAGTCTGGATAAGATAAAAGGGAAAGAAAGATGCTGCTAAGGCTTTCCTGTTGCTTTGCTACCTTTGCTCTGTAATGTACTATTGTTCCTCCACTATGGGCCACTCTGCCTTGGAGCCAGCCATTTATGGACTGACACCTCTACACACTGTGAGCTAAATAAATCTTTCCTCCTTCAACTTTGGGTGTTGGTTATCTTGTCTCAACAATGACAGAAAAGTAACTAAGACAGTACCAAAACAGTCAGATAGAAGAAGTGAGTTCCAGTATTGCACAGCATAGTACAAAAACTATACCTCAGAATAACCTAATTGTTTTGTGAAGATGTAGAAGGGCACTGATCAAAGCCTCCAAATATAAAGAAATGGTAAGGAGAATGGAATGCTATTCACCCTGATTTGATCAGTGCAAGCAATATGCATGTGTTAATATATGACACTGGGGTGTAGTACTGAATGCCTGTAGTCCCAGCTACTCAGGAAGTTGAGGCAGGTGGACTGCTTGAGACTAGGAGTATAAGGGCAGTCTGGGAAACACAGCAAGACCATGTCTAAAAAAGTATATAAATGTTGCACTGAATTCCATTAATATTACAATTAATACATGCTAACCAAAAATAAAATAAAATAGAATTTTAAGTTTCCACATGATAATTTTTTTGAGACTGACCTGGAACTCACTATATAGCCCAGGCTGGTCTCGAACTCACAACAATCCTCCTGCCTCAGCCTCCCAAGTGCTGGGATTACAGGCATGTGCTATCACTCCTAGCCTGCATGACGATTTTTAAACAAAGGAAATGGAAGGATTGTGTATGTGTATGTTATGTGTTTCTGCTTTTGTGTTTTCTTTTTTCAGTAACAGGATCAAACCTAGGGCTTTGAGCATGCTAGGACTGTAGTTTAGTGATAGAAAGCCCAGAAATCTGCATGCATCTACAGAGAAATGATTCTCACTCAACAAAGGTACCAAAAACACACAATGAGCAGGAGGACCACTTTAGCTCAAGAGTTCAAAGCCAGCCTGAATAGCATAGTGAAACCTTACATTAAAATAAAGTGAAATGGAACAAAATAAAAATTTAAAAATTAATATCTTTCTTAGAATAAACAATCAAAAAGAAAATAAGGGTATAAAACATTACCAATAAGTAATTGTTTTTGCACTCTAAGTGTAATTTCTTACTGCCTTTTCTACTAGTCAAGGTGGACTTTCTTCCCATGGGCCTAGAATACAGAACGTTGTTGGTATTTCTCATTCTCACAATATTAATATTTATATTCATATTTTCTACAAGCCACTATGCATTGATCATAAATTTTTAGAAAGGGATTATATATATTATGCATATGCATATTCATATATATTCCTTTAAAACAGACTACTTTAGAAGAAATACGAAAGAGCAAGAATTCCTTGTACTTTTTCTTTTTGAAATTTCTATTAATTGCACACATGCTACTAATTACATTATAGAATATTTGACTAAATGTAAAATTTTTGCCCGGGGGCTTCCAGAGCCGCAGGTATGCACTGCTATGAATGTCTCTCCAGATCCCTCTATGCACAGCTAGTGTAGGCATCACAGTAAAATCAATGTTGAAATCAAACTAAAGATTAAAAATTAAAATTCATTTATGCAATAATGTTAAATGCCTGCACATACCCAAGTGCACTCATGTGAGACAAAGCTGATGGGTGTGCCCCACAACCCTCCAAGTAGTTAATTTTGAATAACTATGATTGTCCGACTATTTTTTGTGTTGTTGTTTCAAAAAAACTTTTGTTGTTGTTGTTGTTTAAAAGTAAGGCACTCTTGTAATCTGTAATGGACTAATTTTAGTTGTTGAAGCTGCTCCTCGGTTTCACTTGAGAATAATCTGGGACATCTTAGTATTTTTCCCTTCTTTTGCAGGGGGGCAGTGTTGGGGGGTTATTTTTTTTTAGTCTTATTTTTAAAAATTCAGTAACCAGTGGACAGCCCTTAGGGGAGGAGGACGGACTGATTCCACATTCCACTTTCTACACCTAGATTAGAGAAGTATGTTCCCCAGCTGGTGGTCTCAGGAAGGAGCATAGTAAATGCCTCATTTCATAACATAGTCCTTTTCGAAAGTTGCCTTTTTTCTCTTTCCACCCTTGAGTAGATTCAGTATTTGATGAAATTCATGGAAGTGGGTGGGAGCTGTCTTGCCCCTCCGCTTTACTAGAATGTACTTTATATGTTAAATGTGACTCAAGGAAATTTGTTTACCATTTGCTGATTTTCTTTGAAGTTAATTTTAATTTCTTTCACTGATAAATGAAAAGTATCGCACCTTTTGAAATACACCAAAGGGATTGAGTTTGAAATTCCCTATCAAAAAATTTTTACTATAAAATGCTAAAAACCTACTAGAAAGGCATTAGTAAATAGATAGCTTTCTATTCTTCTAAGTAACCAGGAAAATAAATCATGTTTCTAGTTATGTTAAGAAAGGTTCAATAAAGCCGGGCGTGGTGGCACAAGCCTGTAATCCCAGCACTCAGGAGGCTGAGGCCGGAGGATGGCTGTGAGTTCTAGACCAGCCTGGGCTACATAGTGAGTTCCAGGTGTCTCGACTCGATATATATATATAAAAAAAATAAAGGTTCAATAGTAAATGTATAATGTTGAAAGATGAAAAAAGCAATGGGGGAAATAGATATATTAACTTGACAGTTCACGCACACACACACACTTATATAATTAAATTAAACTGCTGCAATGCTTGTGGTTTTTGTTGATATATCTTATAAATTTTAAATGAAAATATTGTGCATTGTTAGTAAACGTAAAAATTTCTGTGCTTCTAAATTTGCATGATTTAAAAGCAGCACACTGTTTATTCTTTCTTATTACTATTTTGAGGCTCTGAATGTAGTACTTCATAGATGTTTTATATAAATAATACTTTATTTTTTCCTATAATAGATTTTCATTATGAACATTTGAGGAATACATAAAAAGGAAGTATCTCTTTAAAAGTACGTAAAAGTGAAGGCGGCTTTAAAAAGGACCTCTTGGTATTACACAAGATGATGAAATATTTTAAATATGAGAAAACATTTATGATAAACACTAGGTTAAAAAATGCAAGATGGAAATTCTACAAAAGTACTATTCTAAGTTTACATATATACACGTATATTTGTATATGTATATGTGTGTGTACATATACTATTTCTTATGTACTTCTGCAGTTTTCTATAAAGTAACACCAAAAATTATGTTGAATAAAAGAGGTCTTATTGCAGAAGGTGGATTCATATTTGTGCTATGTCAGACTTTTAATTTTAAAGATTAAAGAGAAAAATCTGTTCTACCACAGTAATGGAGTCCAGATTTGACTTGCTAGCTACAAACCTTGATCAAATATACTTACTCTCATTAGGTCCCATTCCTTACGTCTAACATAATAGCATTAAAATAGATAAATTCTTAGGAACCATTCATGTCTAATATTCTATAACTCAAAAGAATCAAAACACGTCTTGCCAGAAAGGGCATTTTTATATTTGACATCTCAATCAATAAATCAAACTAAGTAGATTTATTTTTATTGCTGAGAATTGAACTGAGGGCCTACACACTGAACTACATTCTCAGCTCTTTTTAATTTTTTTAAAAAATGTTAAGACATCATGTCATTAAGTTGCCTGGCCTGGGCTTGAACTTTTGATTTTCCTGCCCCTGTGTAGCAGAGTGCTGAGGTTACAGCCATGTGCCACCATGCCCAGTTCAAGCTAATTATGAATAACAGACTTTACAGTAGTAAGAACACCAAATGAACTAGAGGAATATTCATATGTTTAAAATAAAAGGAGTAATTTTTTCTGTGATATCCCACTAAATTCTAATAACATTTGCAGAAATAAGTAATACTTACAGATATTGAGCTGCCGTGTGAAGCTGGCTATATTGCTATGTTTGAAGAATTTTGGAAGCACCTTTTTGGCAAACATTGGTTCATTTACAATGCAAAAGCTTTCACCATTCTAGAAATAAGGGAAGACAAAAAGGTAGTTATTTACGGAAAAAGTGAAGTTAAAGCAAAGAAACAATTCAACAATGAATGTATCAGAAGCTAACAAGCTGAAAGATTTGTGAAAATGTAAAGCCAAAAATTATTATTTAAACATTAAGACTGGGATATATATTCATCAGAAGCAGAGTGAATCCTTAGCATGCTCAAGGTTCTGGGTTCAATCCTCAGCCCTGGGGAAAAATTTATTCTACAGGCGCCAGGGATGTAGCTCAGTGGCACCGCGCCTGCCTGGAAAGTTCAAGGTCCTGAGTTAGATCCCGAGTACCAGAAAATATATACAAACAAATGAACAAAGAAAAATAAAAAACAGAAAGAACCTTCCAAAAATTATTCTACAGAGAATATGCAAAAACAGAAACTATAAAGAAAAATGCAGTAGATTGACCACAAAAAAGAAAATCAACGTACATACATGACCCTGTAAATTAAAGACACAAACTAAATGGTAAAATAAAAAATGGAAAAATATTTCCAGTACAGACAACAAAGAATTATTATTAGCATATAATGAGCTCTTATAAATTATTAAAGCGCAAAAACTTCATTAGAAAAAATTGGGAAAAGACACGAAGAAGTAATTCAAAGAATTAGCAAATTAAGGCTTAGAAAACTGTCCAAAATGTAAATTAAAGTAGTAATGAGATATAATCAGATCAAATTGGCAAAGACTTTTTAAAAATGTTAACAGCCAGTCTCAACAAATTAACAAATTAAAAAGCAACCACACACTGTTGGTGGGAATTTAAACTGCTTAATATCTCTAACAATATGTATTTAAAGCCGTTAAATGATCTTGGACTTGGAAATTCATAATGGGATAATTGTTGATATGTGTACAAAATTAGCTATAAACTGTTATATAAATAATCATATATAGTATCTTTAAAATAAAAAACTCTAATGCTTTATACAACTACACAATACTATTGGAAAAATTGAAAACAACCTAAATGCTAAGATATTGATTAAATCTATACAAATGAATGTCTTACTGCCATATAACGAAGTTTTGGAAGAATGTTTAATGAAATAGAAATATTTATGATATATCTGCAGTGAAAAAAGCAAACTTCCAAATGGTATAAAATATATCATTTTATGAATAATAAAGATATAAGTCTGGAGATGTAGCTCAGTGGTAGAACGCCAGCCTAACATGCTCAAGGCCCTGGCTTCCATCTCCAACACTGGAAAAAATAAAATACCACATATACACAAGAGAATATTCTACAAATGCTAACAGTGATTTATTAATGGATGGTAATATAACTTTTTTAAAAAATTTTTGTTATTTTTATTTTCTAAATTTTCTAAAATAAATCTACTTTGATTAAAAAAAGTTAATTCAAAAGTAGGCAAGTCAGGCATGGTGGTGCATTCCTGTAATCCCAGATCTCTAGGATGCTGAGGCAGGAGGATTGCAAGTTTGAACTCAGCCTAGGCAAATTTAGTGAGACCTTGTCTCAGAATTTTTAAAAATGGGATTGAAGATATAGTTCAGTGCAAAGGACCTGGGTTCAATTCCCAGTACCTCCCCCTCAAAAGTAGGCAACGTGATAATATACATACATACATATTACTCTTTCCCCTAAATTACAAATTTTATATGCTTAATGAAGTAATAACAAAATTAATTAACTTTAGTATTACAATATTTAAATTTTACTGTCCACTTGGATTAAGATTTAGAAAAAACTCATGTGTTATTTTCCTATATTACCTCATGAGTCATAGTCTAATTTGTTCTCAGAATTCCTCAGTCAGTCTTATTGAAGATGAGCATGTGCTGGAGGAAGAGACTGATTATCTGCTTCTCAAAAGCCCTTTGGACTACTTTAACCAAATTGAATTATTGGAACAAAATCCTCCAAAGCCACTTCCCAGAATTGACTGGACTTCAGAGATAAAAGAGAATCTCATGAAAAATTTACATGTCATGTTAGTCTATTCCTTCCCTTGATCAACTCTCTATGGAAATCAAAAAGAAAAAAAAATGACTAGTCAGGTACTGAAAGAGTCCCTAGACAAAATTGGTCACATTTAGGGCGGTGCGGTTGGTGAAAGAGTCCCTAGAGAAAATTATCTGTAAACTAGATAAATGATATTTCAATAAATAGATATACAATAAAAGTGAAAGCAAAATATGATGATGCATGTTTCAATTTAATCACATTGTGTATTTTAGTACATCCTTCACTTTATGATAATTAAAGAGTGAATGTTGAAAAAAGAAGTGTATCAAAATATTAACTGGAAAAAAGATTATTTATATTACAGCTGTGAGTACTTACAAAAGGTACATTATCTTTCATGTATTTCAAGTATTATTTGTCTGAAAAGAATCTAGGATGTCCAGAAAAGGGGAGGAAATATCAAATCATTTGTGGCATATTTGTATGATGAAATATAATGTAAGCACTAAAGATGCTGCTTAAAAAAATGAATTTCTTGGGAAAATGTTGGCAATGCTGCTATTTTAAAGACAAAATTGCATGCACACTATAATATTTTAAATATTTTCTTAAAATAAAAATTGGCTTCATTCTAATTGTAAAAACATTACATTCTCAATGTAAAAAATAAAGAAAAGATAAAATGATGCAAAAAAAAGGCCTCAGCATATGGAGATAATCATTAATGTTTTAAAGAACTTCCAGGATATCTGTCTACACACACTAATCTACATAAGTATGTTTATAACAGTATACACTGAAATATTTTACACACTGACATACAGATTTACACACACACACACAAATATACATATAAACATAAAATGAGATTTTACTAAAGTTGATTTAAGTAGGACAATGATAAATATATTGTTCTGCAAATCTTATTTCTATATTAAAAGT